CTTTTAATATTTTTTTACGATGCATAGCTTATCAATTATAATGAATTAAATACGAGTACATAAAGGTTTTTTAAACATAATTATTTGTTCGACTGCACGTGAGTCCCACTCTCGGTTAGTCTTTTCTATATAAGAAATTATTCCATTTTTACACCATTTTTTTCATTATAAAATATATCCAATGTTACTCTCTGATAATGCAGCTGTATGTCGGCGAAAGAATTAATAACTAGTCGTATCTGAGTTTATCCACTACAAACAAACAAAAGGTCGAATCTTTCTTATTTATAACATTAGACAAATACGAATGTATTTCAGAGGAAAATTAATTAACGTGCTGCATATTTTTACGATTTCCAAATATCATTAAGTGGATTACCTTTGTTGACAAGGTTAGTTTTGTCACGACGGAAGTTTATATATTCCATTTGACTTTTAGAAAGCAATTTTTAGGTCATAATAGTTTAAAAGACAATTATATTCTTTTAATTTGTATTGTAATGAGGTCTTTTAGCAACATAAATAGGTCGCTATGTATTTTTTTTCCAGAATAATAACTGTTATGTAAATTGGAAGACACATGGACATAATCCTTTAACGTTGCACGTTATAACGAAATCTTATTGCTAAAAATATTCATCCTAGTCCAAGCGTACGAAGTGTCTAGATCTATCTATCTTCAATTCGAACTATATAATTTTAATTGTTTACTCTATAGAGAATAGAATCGGTGGCAGAGTAAATTGCACCTTATGGCTCAGTGTTATGTTTAAATTGGAGATTAATCTCGAGTGAGGTGTGTCATCGACAACAGGTATCTTCTCACTTACCTTGACCGCGCCCGTTGTCCTCTCACTCAGCTATGGAGTGATCATAGACGTTTTCATGCGCACGCGCCTGTCCCACAGCTCCACGATCTATGACTTATGTTCCTTGATCACGAACTTGTGTGCGCTCTTGTGTGAATGTGTTCACTGTTTGAATCTGACATTTTCTATAACGACAATTATTGCTGTTATTAGATTTATTCTATTGAATAGTTCGATATTGTCTGTCAAAATGTAATTATTAGTTAATCTTTTAATCACGTCGATTGTCGGTGCCGCATGTTTGTTATTTATGTTACCATATTTATATTAATTATCATAATGTATTATCTCAACAACTACATATACATGAAATGATTGAAATTACTTTTTAAGTGACTACATTTTTCTTTAACATTTGAAGAGTAACCGAGTACGGACTTATATCGATGGCTTTTTGTTTGTTGTGCAGTAGGGTGCCTTATCAGGTTTCTGGTTACCCGAGCGCTTCATTGAAATATATATTCTTTTTATGGATGCCGCGTTGACATGTTAGTTTATTCAATTTATGCCAATAGATTGTCCGAGACGTCGGCGTCATATGATTCATTGCCACTCAATCGCGCTATAAGATTAAATATATCATCATTTATTGTGATCGTTAAAAGTGCGTGCAGCGCACACAAGCACCGCTGTAATCATTGTCGTCTGGACATACACTTAAGCTTTATTTGTCGTAGTAATGTTTTCGAAATGCGATATTGAAGTTATCTTTTCTTTCTAATGCGAAGAAACACCGATATTTCACCCATATATTTGGAACATTTCGTAACATAATCGGTTTTGGACGTTTTGGCTGTTATCAGCGCGCCGATAGCGGTGGTCCGATAGTCATAACATTGCACAAGTTTGTTTTTTTTTTTAACTCTGAATGCATTCGTTGGAGCGTGCTATCGCTATTGATGAAAAATGTGCGCATTATGCAATAACCTTTAAGTCTTGTCGAGCTGTCGTTAAGATTGAAATGAGAAGGAATCGATAGGCTAATCGATATGAAAAATAGAGAGAGGTGATGGCATTCTATGCAATGGAGCGTCGACAATGTTTATAATTATTAGGATTATATAGGGTGGTAACAAATTAGTTAAAATTTTAAGGGATGATATGTTTCATTAATATAATTCAGTTTAAATAGAAATAGAGAAAATTTTTCTTATCATAGTTTTGATTTCATTTTCGGTACATAAAATATATCATAAGCTACCCTATTCTAATGTCATATAATTTTGACCAGTTCCTAAGGTTGCCTGGAAGTCATTGCTTTTTAGTAATAAGGCCGCCAATTGTACATTTAAATTTATTGTATCCATACGATTGTTTTGTTCATTAGTGCACACTTAAGAATTTTAATTTCATTAATACTTTTGATAAATAAAAATAATCCTCCAGTGCATTTAACTGACAAGATTTCTAACACTTTCTGTCATGTCAAAAGTTAACTGTCTTTAATGTCATTATCATATAAATAGTATTACATAGATATCGACATCAACTTGAAGTAGCCAGTTAAGTGGCAATTACCCATATTCTCCAAAAATGACATAAAATCTATAATGATTTAAATTGTAAAAATATCTGTAGCTAATTCGTTGGTATCCCATATACTCTAGAATTCAATAGTAATGGTGTTAGTGTTGTGTAGTGCGTCCGTCCGTCCGTCAGCGGTCGGTCCGGTGGCGGCGGCGCCGGCGGTGGTCATCGGCCCCTCCGGTGAGTTGCGCAAGTCCAGTTAGCCGTATGATTCGTTCACATTAATATTCCACTGCTGCTGTTATTGCGAACTTTATGTCTGCGTCCTTTGCCTTTATGGGTATCGATGATATTTGCGGCGCGAACTTTACAATCTCACACGGTAAAGAGGCTGCAAGAACCAAATCACCAATTAATTAATTACGAATAGGCAAACTTTAAATATAGAGTTAAAACTGATGAATTTATTCGCAAATTGGTAAACTCCATGTTTAGTTATTACAGGAGACAATAGAGGTAATAAAAATCGTTTTAACTTCAATCGATATTTTTTATTTTTGGTATTATGAGAGTTTTATTTTTTAAACGCAACGAAATGTCTGATTGGTTTGCGAACTAAGGTATCAAAATACGGAAATCTATTTGACTATCGCAAGAAGATAATCCGATCAAAACGGTAATATTCAAAAGTTTTAAAACGTAAAATAAATTACAAAGTTATCTCGAAAATTCAATCATATTGAATTAATTCTAGTAATAATTTATTTTGAAATAAAAATTTACAATTATTCTGGTTACTTTGTAGCTGTGGGCCTGATATGGAGCGATTGTACAATAACCGTAATGGTTATCGAGTAATTAAATTAAACGAAACAACTTTTGAACGATTTTAACGTGTTTAAGTTGACTAGTGACTACAGGGGTCTGCTATGGATCCGAAACATCTACAAACAAATTGTGAAAAGTAAACAAAAATGTTATTTTATGGAATAAGGACTGTGCGTGGTAACAAACAGTTTTTAACGCATCATTTCGCTTAATACGCCATTGGTGTCAATACTATCATACATAGCACTTTCTAAAATAAATAAAGAAAATAATTTCTATTTACTTACGTCTTTGTGGTGTCACGTATGATCTAAGATTGCTATTGTTTATAAAATTCAACATATTTGTCGGTAAATGGCGGCAATCCTGATGCACAAACACAACTTTCTGTCTATCTCATTGACAGAACTCGTGATTTATTTTAGTCTTTATGTTCACTCTTAAAGCAAACTTTTATTGTATAGATTGGTAATTTGTTAACTTCACTTAATAGCGCTATCCTATATTAATTTAGGTTCGATTTAATTGTCACTATACGGGTAAGATACCCGCATAGATTAGGGATAGTGAAAGAATAATTTATGTTGATGACATATTGACCCAGATGATCAGACGTGAACTGAGGGACCGATCTAGTTTCTATTAGATGTTGTTGCGTAAATAACCTTTGTAATTGTAGCGATGAAGTGGGAAATTATTGATTCTGTACGCTCTTGTAATAAAGTTTTTGTTATGTTACGATTTAACGGTTAAATTATCGGCTGTTAATGAGTGTACTATTGGAAGTCATCGGGCTATATAATGAAACCAAGTGGCTAATGTCTGCAGACAGCTTATGCGGGTTTTATATTCGTAATAACTATTTGGTAGTAGTTTTACTATCACCTTTTTGGTCTATTTTTTTTCCAATTAATATTCCAATTTATTTATTGTAACACTATTTTTCTATTTAGGCTCGACTGTTTTCTCTAACCGATTAATTAATAAAAAATATCGATCTAATTCCGTCGCCACCTTCAAATGACTAAAATTAAAGAAAACGTGACGAATAAAGTTTATCTGATGTTTGAAACTGCTCCCAAATTTATAATGCCACAAAAATTTGATTAGGCACGCTCGACGCGTTAAGTATTATAACGCTTCTATAATGAGTACTTTCGATTCAGAAGAACTTCTTGGGAACAAAGACATTCCGTAGTGTCGAGACGAGAGGGATTCTTTGGAGGAGGGCGTCGTACAGACGCTTCTCGTCGTGTGTAAATACGTACCTCAGAAAAAACGGACAGATAGACGGCCAATAAAAACCCCGTGTGGGGAGAAGCCGAGGGGCGGGCGAAGCGGGTGCATTGCGCCGCTCGGGCAAGTGCATGGTGCAGTCTCCGCGAGACGAGCAGGGTGCGCGCACGCAGCCTCCAACACCCCTCTCCGTCCCCATACACTTATATAACATACTACACGGGTGAAAGGCTTCCCGAAAAAGTATGCGTACGCGTCATCACTCGCATACTTATTTCGTCCCCATTTTTTTGCGAACAAGTCAATCACGTTTTGTTACGTGCCGGGTCCGTTAGCCGGAAGCGTTAAGTCGCCAGAGCTTCGCGTAAGCTAGCTTTACGCTTTGGCGGTCGACTGGGATTAGGCATAGTGAAACTAATTACATTAGTGGCGTCTCCGCTATGACGTGAGTCCATATGCTAGTTTTAATGGTCGCGTTGTTAAGTCGGTTACCTACTAAGGTTTCAGTGTATTTTGTGTTGTTGCAGGGCGAGTGCAGTTGTTAAAGTATCTGCCGAAGTCGAGGCGGGTCCTGCGGGCCCCACGGCCGAGGACGCCGCCATGAAAGGTGTCGAAGCCACACCTGAAGAGCAAGAGCGCCTCGCCACCGGGAACAACAATGGCTCCCTCGACTGCAAGATACCGCCGGCGCAGGCGGCCGGCCCCCGTTCCGCCTTCCATTCGACTCGAGTTTTTATGCTCGTTTTTCTATCGGGTTGGGTCCTCCAGGGAATGTTTCTCACATATTTCGTGAGCGTGACGACGACGATCGAGAAGCTCTTCAAAGTGGAATCGAAGACGACAGGAATGCTCCTCGCAGCTACCGAGATAGGACAAATATGTACGGCTCTATTTTTGACGTACTTAGCTGGTCGCGGTCACCGGCCGCGGTGGATCGCGTGCATGATGCTGGTGCTGGCGGTGGGCGTGATCGGTTGCGTGGTGCCGCACGTGTTGTACGGCACGCGGCTGTTGGACGTGCACTTGGACGCGCACCGTGGCGGCGCCGCGCCCGTATGCCATACGGACGGCACCAACGCCACCTACTGTGATCCGTACCAGATCAGCAGCACTAAAGACCGCTCCTCCATCACGGCAGTCGTTATACCATGGCTCTTCATCTGCCTGCTGGTGGTGGGAGTCGGCCAGACCGGTATCGCAACGCTCGGGATACCTTATGTTGACGACAACGTTGGCAGCAGACAATCACCTCTTTATATAGGTAAGTCATTAATACAAGTATTTTGATATTAATTCACTGACCCGGCGTTTTTTGTTGGTCATTGTGATTAGGTACAGATAAGTCTTTTTAAATGTTTCATCGGTCTTATTGTCAGTACGATGTGCGCAATAAATTCGGCGCATAAAAGTTAATAAATCACGGTGTACGCCCACCGCGCCGCCTACTGAGTATTCTGCCGGACGCCCCCGATCGCTTGCATAATTTATGATCGAGTTCAATATTGTATGCAGTCTTACTAAGTGCAATGTTACTACAATATTTTTGAACTTTATTTATTTGTTAGTAAAGAAAAACACGTGGTTGTCGTGAAAGTGAATAACGAATACCTGACAGAGTTTGTATATATTTCATCATTGGTGAAATCGAAGATATTGCGTGTATGTTAATTTAAGTTAATAAATTTGTTTATACTGGCGCAGTATAATCGAACAGGTTTTGATTTATGGAAGGTGAAGGCAGTTAAGGAAAAATAACAAAAGTTAACAATACCCGTTTGGGTGCAAGAGGCTTAAAAAACCGGCGGCGGGTGTGCTCGCTGTACAAACTAGACTCGGCAAGCATATGCGGGCCGACCCGACCAGCCGTCATGTAGTAAACTAATATATAAATAAAAACTAAAGCTGGTCGTTGATAAATGCATCGCTCGAGAATAATTGTCTGGACCGATATTATTAATGACAAATAATAGAAAGATAGCTCGTAAAAAATCGGTAATTTTTGAACAAAATGCCTCTTATTTCTGCTGTCGATAAATATGGGATTTAATAACATTTGGACGTAGATCAATGTCCGTAGGTTCAGCGGCTCTACCGGCAGTTTATGTTTATTAAGAAATATAGAAATCGTACAGACGATATACTTTAAACGGACTTCAATTATCATTATAGGATTTAAGATTACGTCTATGCCATCAGCCTGTCGCTATTTTTCAATGAAGAATAACGATTCTATTGTATTGTAGTAAGTAAGTTTCATATGTAAATATGAAGTCTTCTTTATTGATTGTTAAACGGATAACTTTCGCTTTTTACAGACAGTTATCTTGCATACAATTTCGTAGGAGTCGGTAGTCGTAGAGTTGTTAAGTTTATAGATGGCAAGCAATAAGAAAATACAAGTAACATTATTGAGATCTTACTTTCGTTTAATTTATTACCAGTAGCGTATAAATTTTCTTTGGCTTTGATTTATCTATGTTCGAAATTAAATATATTACTCGGCACCATGTGAAATTAAGACATTGATTAGATGGATTTAACGTTTAATAAAAAAAATATATATAAGGTGTAATATTGTTATGTGCCAGGACTTTGTAGGGTGGATGAGTTAAATATACTGAATAACTTTTACTATGGGAGCAACACTGAATTCACGAAATAATGATCAGCTGTTTCTTAAAAAAATGTAGGTAGCCAACAGTATGAATTGATTTAACTCAAAGATGTTTCTGAAGTCTTTAAAAATTAATATTGTACTGTTATACAATATGTCGATACCAATGATTGGTTGTTAATTTTTTATTTTAAATAAAATATATATTTTTCGTGCATCTGACACTTGTACAGTCTTTCTGATAAATCATCGGTTACTGCTTTTTCTGCTTGAGCGCATTACGTTATATTACATGAACGAATTATAAATATAGTCGTGCGTGGTAATCGATTGTGCCATTGTCGTACACGGCAATGTGATATCGAACGAATGATTCGAAAATAGATCTCAAGATCCGTTTCATATTGTAGCATAGGACGTCGAAAAGAATAATGGTCGCCGCTAGCACAGACGACACCTTAGCATAACATTTACATAATATATATATTTTACAATACATTTTGGCCATTGTGATTCAATGCTTCATATTGAAATGTAAAACTAAACTTATTTGTTGGAATACCTACTTGATCGTTACAGGGTAGAAATTCAAAATTTGCAACAAACGATGGTACAATAATATACTAGGTGTTTTCCCGCGACTTTGCCCGCGTAAATTATAGCCTACACGTATGATGTGGCATCCCAGAATTTTTAGTAGTTTTTGAGCATATTTAATGCAAAGAAGCAATCAAAGCTTTTTTGTTTATAATATATGTAAAGAAAAAGTATTTCTTTAATATTTATTTAGATAGTATGTAGTGCATAAAAACTCTTTGGTTTTCTAATACGGCTAATTTATAGATGTCAAATTATTAAAAAGCTTACATATTAAAAAGTGTGTAATGTCAAAATAAATAAATTATAAATATTATTAAAAATACATATTTTCAAGAGGATTGGATAAAAAATAACTTTAAATGTCGTTTCTTTATTTTCAGGTAGGAATTTTATGAAGTGTAATTTAAGTTTAAGAAGTAATATAATTTGTTTTTGTTAAGTACTAAGAAATAAATCTTTATTTTCAGAGCAACACATTGAGTTTACATTGTCAATCCTTTTCGTTGAGCCATTAACTTATAAAACGACATTTTTGTTAAAAAAATATAATGGATAAACTTAGATTTGAATTTACTTTATTACCGGCAAACGATGGAAAATCAAACATCTTATGTATAACATCAATAGCTTCGAGTGATAATACAGTATATGCAATACCGGATGAATTACAATCAGTTAGTCATCATAAGGAAATAATAAAAACAGCTGTATATACTAAAGTCAAAAACAGTTTAAAGAAAAGGTACCAAACAAGAAGACTTTGGATAACAATGACAGAAGAACTTAAAAAAACATATATAGACGAAGAAGGGAATTTACAATTTGGAGATCAATTTCTAGAAGAACTAAATCAAAACCAACTCACTGCTGCGAACCAAAAAGATACTTTAGAAAAAATATTTGAGAGGTTTATAGAAAATATGCAAGAAAATAGAGGACAGAATTTAAAACAGATTGCAGAAAAGTTTGTAATTGAAAAATTTACAAGTAAAAATTTTAATGCAATTCAGTGGATTGATACTTTTGAAAAAGAATGCTTGCGTTTTGAGGTAACCTCAGATGCAAAGAAAATTGAAATACTACGATTGTTTATGGATAAAAGTTGTGCCGATTGGTACAGTTCCATGGTGATGAAATTAACAATGGATGCTGAATGGATGACATGGAAAAACAAATTCTGTGAATCGTTTTCAAATAAGGGATGGAATCCAGTCATCTATGCACTATTATTTAAATATAAAGATGGTTCATTGTTGGATTACGCTATTAGAAAGGAAAAACTTTTATTGGATATGAGAAGTTCGATTGATACAGGTACCTTAGTGGATCTCATTGCAGCTGGCTTACCAGAATTCATACTTAATAACATTAATAGAGAAGCTTTAAGAGATACTGTGGATTTATTTAATGAAGTGAGCAAATATGAACATATGGTAAAGAATAAAGTTTTCTTGAATAAGAAAAGAAATACCAATTTAAAAGTTAACAGTAGATATGATGACTTAAGTCCATGTAAAATTTGCGGAAAATTGAATAAGGGCGTTCGTTACCATTCTGAAGCTACATGTTGGTTTAGAACAAAAGAAGATAATATGAAAAAAGAAAATTTTATCAAACATGTAAATAATTCTGTAATAGAAGCTGAATTAAATGAAACTAACCAAAAAAACGAGTAGTCACACCATTAATAAATGTCAAACTGTTATTAAATGATAAATTGGAAATATATGGAATTTATGATTCTGGTTCAAACGTTTCCCTAATTAATTCAAATTTATTGAAAATAAAAGGTAACAGAAACTCTTTGAATCAAGCGAATTTAGTAACAATTAATGGTGTAAAAAAGGCAAATGGTTTGACAAATTTAAAATTAAAAATATTTGAAATAGAAAAAAATGTTGATGTATATATTATCGATGAAGAAAATTTTAAATATGATTTTTTGATTGGATTGGACCTAATTCAAGCATTTAAATTGATTCAAAATGAAGACCTGAGTATAATTCAGAAACAGTGTATAAATAATGAAAAAAAAGATAGAAGTACAGTAACAGAATACAATATTAATTTTAATGAACATGTAAAAGAAAATGATTTTCGAATAAATATAAATCATTTAAATGAATTTCAGAAATCTGAAATTAACACATTGATTAACAAATATAAATCAATTTTTGCAAAACATAAGTATGATGTTGGCACTGTTAATGGATATGAAGCGAGAATTGACTTATTAGTGGACAGATATTGTAGTAAGAGGCCTTATAGATGCACTATAGAAGACAAAATGGAGATAGAAGAACAAATAGGAAAACTGTTAGATAATAACTTGATAGAAGAGTCCTATAGTCCATTTGCTGCACCTGTTACATTAGCTTTTAAGAAAGAAGAAAATAAAAAATCCCGGTTGTGTATAGACTTCAGAGAGTTAAATAAAATTGTAGTACCTCAAGCGCAACCGTTCCCTCTAATCGACGATTTGATGATAAAGGCCAGAAACTGTAATTTTTTTTCAACGTTAGACATAAATTCTGCTTTTTGGTCTATTCCCTTACGTATAGAAGACAGAAAAAAGACAGGGTTCATAACACAAGAAGGACATTATCAGTGGACTTGTCTTCCATTTGGACTAAAGACGTCACCCGCTATTTTCCAAAGAATATTAAGTAATATATTGAGGAAACATAAACTTACTGATTTTGCTGTGAACTTTATTGACGATATTTTAATTTTCTCCAAAACGTTTACTGATCATGTTAATCATCTGACACGGTTGATGGAAGCAATAAAAACAGAAGGTTTTAGACTAAAATTTACAAAGTGCACTTTTGCATCAGATACAGTTAAATATCTCGGTCATATAATTCAAAACAATTCTATTAAACCAGTAAAAGATAATTTAATTTCGATCAAAAATTTTCCTATACCTAAAACACAAAAAAATATTAGACAATTTCTAGGAAAAATTAATTTTTACCATGAGTACATACCCAAGAGTGCGATTATATTAGAGCCGTTACATAACTTACTAAGAAAAAATCAAAAAT